GGCTTCCCTCATGGTTGAAAGACGGCTGCCTGTGACCATTGGGGCTTCGTGCTTCCTAATTGTCTCCAGAGGGAGATATCATGACATCTCACACCATCAAGCAGAGCTCACCAGCTTGGCTGTGCTTAGACCAGCCCTGAGCCAGCCGTCAGGGCAAGAGGCAGAGAATTTCCCTGGTTGGGTTAGGCCTCCTCTCCCCACTGGGGATGAGGTGAGTCTCACTCAGCTACCATGGCTGTTTCACAAAGGGGAAGGAAAGAATGCTGTGTTGGCAGGGGGGAAGGCAACCATGATGCCTTGGCCTTTTGCTGTTTGTGCCAAATCCACTGTTCCTCTGCTTTCCCACCCTCTAGAGATACCATATCTGATGTTGGTCGGGGGGAGGGGGGGTTCCTCTAAAGCAGAAACCCTGTCTGTAACACCCTTTATTGAAACCCTCTGGTGCCTTTCTCCAGACATACAGAACTCTCAGGGTCAAGTTCATATTTGAGATGTTCGAGTTCTAGTTCCAGTTAACCGTTGATGAACCTTTTGGAACATTCCACCTTTCCCCCCTTCATTCTCTTCCAGGCTATTTTGCCTCTGCACTTGCTGTGTTTTGCTTACACTGTCTCTGTGCTGCTTCATTTGACAAATTTGCCCTTCAAAACCAGCTCTTCTCTCGGAGGCCCTCCAGGATGGCCACAACTTTTTTTGATAACTTAGTCATGATGTGCCTATATTGGCCTCTGCCTGTGGTCTTGGGGCAGGGACATGTCTGGTTCATCCTGGGTCCCCAGTCCCCAGGCTTGTTAGAGACTAGGAACTCAGATAGTGTTTGTTGATTGAGTACTACTTTTATGGTCCTGCTGTGCCTAGCACTGTGAAGCCCCCTGGTAGTAGTCAGTTGGTACTTGTCAATGAATCAATAAACTGATCACAAACTGCACTTCACCACTTCCTGAGAAAACCTTGAGCCACAGTGCTTGCTGCTCTCAAGGGAGCATGAAGGATGAGCCTCTGATGGGTTCAGGGAGTTGGTCCTTGGTACTTGTAGCTGTTGCATTTGGGGCTTGGTGAGGGCTTAGGGGCCTTCAGCTCTGCACCCAGGAACCCTTGACCCTAAGAAGCCTCTTTTCATTCCTAGACACAGTGGGCACAGGCCTGCTGGGGCTCTAATTGTAGACAGGCATAGATATCCCATCTCCCTTCAGTTGAATAGATGCATCTATTACCAGGGGTTATTTTAAGACAGTTCTTCCCATTTAAAAAAAAAAGGTTTATTTCTAATATTTTTAGGACTCCTGTATGTTGAGTAAAATGTGGAAAATATATACCAGTACAGACTACCTGTAATCCTTCCCTGGGTATTAATGTATGTGCTTCCATTCTGTTTCCCTAGCATGAATATTTAGTGACTTCCTAAGGTATTGGGATGCATATTTTATTTTTATTTATCGTTATTTTATTAATAGAGATTATTTTGTTAATTACCCCACACATTTCTGTGGAAGTCTCCTGCAACCCTGCCACTGACAAGCTGAAAGAACCTTAAGACCCATGTAGAGGAACCTATAAAGAACTGTCATGAAAGGGACCTTTCTTTTTGGTATCACATCAAGACAATAAGATGTGAAAATTTTAAAACCAAAAGGAGAAAAAAAACACTTAAAATAAAGGGGGAAGAAAACCCAAACCATATTTTGCTATATGTGAGAGTATTGTCAGGCAGTATTTACACAAAGGTTAAAGGAATATCACTCTAACACATTTGTGATGAATACCAATGAGTGCTGTTTCTTCAGACTTCTGCAGGATGGTTATCTTTTATTTCTTTTTCTTTTTTTAAAGATTTTATTTATTTATTCACAGGAGACAGAGAGAGAGAGAGGCAGAGACACAGGCAGAGGGAGAAGTAGGCTCCATGCAGGGAGCCCGATATGGGACTTAATCCTGGGACCCCAGGATCACACCCTGAGCCAAAGGTAGATGCTCAACTGCTGAGCCATCCAGGCGTCCCAGATGGTCCTCTTTTAAAAACATTTTATTGGGGTCCATATATAAGTTGTGAAATAGTGTGGGTTTAATCTTGGCATAGAGTCAAAAGTTGGTACGTTTATTCCCGGGAATAAGACCAAAGCTAAGCTCAGAGCTTCTCAGCAGCCAAAGCAATCAGTCAATCAATCAGTCAATCAGTAAATTTTAACAAATTGCAAAAGGAAAGTGCATGGGGTCATGGGGATCTAGAATTGCAGAAGAGGAAGTGAACTAGATTGGCAGAATGTTCAGACTTTCCTAGTGCTGAACTCTGGAGAGGATGGTCATAGGGACCTTGTGTCACAGTATTGCGTAAGGGACAGTTCCCTGACAGATACAGGAACTGCCAGAATTTGGTCACTTCTCGCACTGTGGTAATAACAGTGGGTGTGTTGATATACTGTGGTTCTAGAAGGCATGGATTTGTAGGAAGCCTGAATAACATGGTCTAAGTGTGATACTTGGTGGTTCTGTTTGCTAGAAATTCAGCAAGGGCATATTAATTGGTGTGGCTTTGCTATTGTGCTTTCATGTTGAGAATCTCATGTAAGTGCCTTGATGTTGGAGGTAACAGCAATTAGTGCCATTTTACAGATGAAATTGAGGCTTGGGGAGATTAAGTGACTTACTCAAGGTCACACAGCCAATTTAAGTGGCACTATCAGGACTTGAATTCAGGTCCATCTTGTCCTTTGCGACTGCAGGCTGTGAGAGAAGAGGGAATCGCCTGAGCCTGTGCTGCATTCACGGTGTGGGCAGAGTTTGGACTGTTGTTTTGTAAACACCACCTCATGTAGTCCTTACAGTAACTCTGGGTGGCCCATAGTATTCTTCTGTTTTACAGAAAGGCCACACAGGTATTAAGGGGTGGAGAGGCAGAGCACGGGCTCCTGACCTGGGTTTGCTGAGGGGACTTCAGAGTGTATAGGATTTCAGTAGAACTGCATGCAAACACTTGTTCCTATTTGCATTTTTCTGGGTGAGAGGAGAGAGGTTACCTTTCATAGAGTCTCAAAAAACAACACAAGTACAGAAGAATCCCAGATCTGTGAGCTCAAGGAAGGAGTCCTAGCTACAGCTCTTACTGACTGAGCCCAAACTGGGTGCCTGTTGCTCAGCAAGGCTTGGATGACCTTGCCAAGGTCATTCCCTTGGGGTTTGGGTGTGTATTCCCCCCCACCTTACAGGCTGCTCAGGTAGCAAGTGGTTTTCCATAATGACACATTTTGCTTCATACATTGCCTCTCATGTCTGGGCTTTTCTGGCTTTTCTGGGCAATTAGTAGGATTTTTCTGTCCTTCTGTGGAGCTGAGAATTGTTAAAAGGCAGAATGAGATGCTATACTGCAAGAGGTCAATGGCTGTGTCCAGGTCCCCTCCGGTCCCTGATCCCTGGGAACAGTCTGGTGATTGGATGGATGACTGGCAGAAAGAAGTTCCTCTTCCCACTGTCATGGGTTGTCAGACATTAATTCATCTGTGATGGCTTTTATTCAGGGTCACTGTAGTTTTAGAAGTCCTGGAGAAGGAGTACTAGCCAGGCACGGCTGGAGTGACCCCAGGAGCCTCAGAGGCCATGTCCTTCCTTCCTGGCAGGAGGTGGTGTGCAAGCTGCGGTATCTCCTTATGTGGCTCTCTCTCCTGGCTGGCATGGAGCCTTCTACAACATGGTGCAGGCCTGTCTGCTGCCCTAGGAAGTTAGGAGGGCCGGCACTGTCTTGCTACCCCCAGTAGCTAGCTAGTACTCTGGACCCCTGCTTGACCCACTGTGGCCTGTCCCCCTAAATATAGCCCAGTGGTGTGGCCCATGTTAGAGCAGTGGCATCAGCAGCCCCATCTTCTAGCTGAGAAAATGCACTCAATTGGAGTGCCTTGCCCAAGGCTATAGCAAGTGACTGGTGGGTCTGGGACCTGGGTCCAGCCATGCATTGCTACATCCTTATATTTACATTGCCGGGAAGCCTCTGGAAGTTCACCATAAGCTGGAGACTCCATGGAAATACGGAAGCCCCTCCTCCCTCCTCTGGCCGGAGAGCAGCTCTGGCCCAGGGGTTTCCGGTTGGCACCAAGGGTGCTCTGCATTCTTTGCATCCTTCTCTGGCCCCCATGCTGCTGGGAGCCCCTGGGGGTATGGGTCTGATTGTGATCCTGGGCCCACTGCCTAGTGGTTGTGTGGTGAATGAATGAATGCATGTGTGAATGAATGACCTGGGGAGGTTGAAAGCCTTTCTAGTACATGACCTGTTACCAAATAATCTGCGACCTTGGTCAGCCCCATCCCCTTTCTGGGCCTGTTTTTTTTTTTTTTTTTTTTTTAATATTTTCTTTATTCATGAGAGACACACACAGAGAGGCAGAGACACAGGCAGAGGGAGAAGCAGGCTCCCTGTGGGGAGCTCAATGCGGGACTCGATCCCAGGACCCTGGGATCACCACCTGAGCTGAAGGCAGATGCTCAACCACTGAGCCACCCAGGTACCCCACTGGGCATGGGTTTCTACACCTGAGCTGGCCTTTGAGCCCCGATGTTCTGGCGTTCCAAGCCAGCAAGGCCCTGGCCTCTAGAAGGTGGAGAGAGGCAAGGGATGGGTGCTGGGATTCTGTGAGGGCTTGGCCGGCATGTATGTGGGCAGAGGTGTCCTCTGGGACTCCTGGCTGTGGAGCCTAGGAAGTGGGGCAGCTGGCAGCTGGGGCGCAGGAGGAGGGTGCAGGGCCTGGTGGGAAAAGGCGATTTGTGGCAGCTGTGCGTTTCCATGGCAACTTTTTCCCCCCTGAAAAATACCCAGTAAACCCTCTAGATTTTAGGGCACCCTATGAGGTTTGGGGTCAGATTGGGGTCATGCAGACTGGACAGGCCCTGGGACGGGAGGAGGAGAGGCCAGGGAGCAAGGGCACTGGGTGCTGGCAGATCCTGCTGGACCAGGGCCAGGTCCCGGCTGTGCACCCCTCCCTGCTCATTATTACTTTGCCTTTTGTTTTCTGTAGATCATGATCGAGTTCTGTCCTGGAGGAGCTGTGGACGCCATCATGCTGGGTGAGTCTTCCTAGATCCAGTGTGGTGCTCGGTGGGCTCTAGAACCCTGGTCTAGGACTGGGTCACTCCCCTGCCCCAGCAACTCACATGGCCTCTTGGAGTATCTTCATTCTGTCCCCTTTCAGGAGCAGGGGTTGGTTTCTTGGCGAGAATGTAGGGCTCTCATTGCAAAACCAGCACTTCCTGTTCAAAAAGCCATGTGTCCTTGAGCTGGTCACTTGCCCCCTCAAGCTTTTTTGGCCATGAGAAGGGTGATGCTTCCTTTGCCCCACCCCACAGCACCCTTAGGAGGTGAAAATGAGACCCCTGAGGGAAGTTCTTTGAAAAGCGGGGATCCCCACCCATTTTGTAAGAGCTTAATGGGGGTGTTGTCAGATTTTCATACCCCAGACAAGTTTGAGCAGTAAAAAAATTCATTTCTCTGAATATTTTGTCAATAGTCCCTGTATGCCAGAGATGGTGGTGGGTGCTTTCACATATTTTACCTGAGTGTTTCTGTTTTATTTTTGGCCAGATTGACACTTAGAAGGGTTAAGGAGGTGGCCTAGAGTCCCCAGCAGGACTGAGATGGGAGCCTGGGTCTTGTAGGCATGGTACGCAGTGAGGGGAGGCCGAGGGGCCAGGGCCCCAGAACATGGAGAGGCAGGCCCACGATTGTGGGGTGGCTCAGCAGAGGGGAGGTTTTTGGGGTAATGTAGAACCACTCGGCCATTCTTTTATTGTGAGGAAGGTATTTTCCCCCTGAGTTTAACTCAGGAATGTCCTGAATTTATGGCAGCCCTTTCCAGAGCTATAGAAATGCTGGCCTTCCTTGCAGAGACCCTTCCCACTCCCAGAGTTCTCAGATGGGGAAATGGCAGTAGGTAGCTAGACATGAGTACTTACGACATGGCCCTTGGGTGTTCTTCCTCTCAGCTTAGACTGTCTTTGAAGAGTTTCATTATTCTATGCAGAATTTAACAAAATAATAATGGTGGTCTTGTATGAGTTGAGACTCTCTAGCTTTTAAGGCAAAGACTGTTTAAATTGGTTTAGAGGAGAAAAAGGTGGGAGATGTAGGAGGGGGAATTTTTTGCACAAATAACTAAAAAGTTCAAGGGTGACCGGCTTCAGGCACAGCTTGGTCTAGGAATTTTGTTTTGTTTTGTTTTAAGTTTTCATAAGAACTTGGTTTCCTTCTTTCAGCTCTTGGCCCCACTTTCCTCTGTGTTGGTCTCATTCTCATTCTGGATTTCTGTTCATGGTGACAAGGTGGCTATAGGAGCTCCAGCAATATTTGTATTCCAAACAGCAGGATAGAAGAAGAGAGGGTAGGATCACTCCAAAAATCCACACCCCATTTCCACTTTTTATTTTTATTATTTTATTATTACTTTTAAAAGATTTTATATTTTTATTCATGAGAGACAGAGAGAGAGACAGAGACATAGACAGGGAGAAGCAGGCTCCCTGCGGGGAACCCGATGCAGGACTCGATCCCAGGGCCCCTGGATCACACTGTGAGCTGAAGGCAGATGCTCAACTGCTGAACCAGTCAGGTGCCCCCAATTCCATTTTTTAAAGGAGCTGTTAGAGAATCCCCACATGACACTTTGATTTACACCTCATTGGCCTGATTATAATAGCACAGAGCTGGAAGAGAGACTGGGAAATGCGGTCTTCTACCTGGGTGGCTGTATGTTTAGATACTAAAAAAGAAGGGGAGAATGGGAGCCACCTACCAGCGTCTGCCTCTCCAGGTGTGCAGCTTGGATCAATGAGGTCTGGGGTAGAATGTCAGAGATGGAAGAGGCATTTACACATACCAGGTCCTTGACCTCATTCATACCTGGGGCAGGAGCCCAGGCTGTGGCTCAGCCTGCAGACAGACTCACTTTCTGGCTCCTTGTCTCACTGCTCCAACCCCACCTGGTTTTCTCCCTGTTGGTGACAGCAGTTAAAGGAAAATTGCCATCAGCATTCTGGAAATCCAGGTGGGAGAAGAGAAGGTGGGATGTGGAGACCTGACAAGGTGAGACCCGGCCATGGGTGCAGCTGTGATGAGGGGTGCACTCTCCCATAGATGCCTGCCCCGCATAGAGGGACTTTCTGCCCTTAGTGTCTCCCCATCACCCTATGGAGTCATGTAGAGTGACGAGGCTGGGCTTGGGGTCCAAGAGACCTGAGGGCTGCCCTAGGTTCCTCTGTGTGGTGGGGCGCTGGGCTGGCCCCTTTGCGAGATGAGGGGAATATGCAGGGCACTTCACTGTATGGCCCCTCTAGTTAGTTAACTAACACCCAGTGTTTGCTCTGATCCGGGTTGGCCTTGCCTTGCTGGTTGGCTCTCAGCCCTCCTGTGGAGGAGAAGGGGTGGGGTGGAGCTGGCTGCATTTTCAAACAGGCGAAGGAGTCATCTGCGATGTGGCAGATTTTTTTAATATGAGGAAAATATTCATGTATTGCTGTGTAATCAAAAATTAATCTTAAGAATTTATCATACTGTACGATTCCAATTATATGACATTCTAGAAAAGGCTAGATGATGGGGCCAGAAATCAAAGGAATGACAGCTTAGGGGCTGGTGATGGGGGTGAAATGTTGATCACACACAGATTTGGGGCAGTGAAGGAAACATTTTCTATCTGAATCACGGTGGCAGTTATGTGACTATATACGTTTGTCTAAATTCATAGAATTGTAATCTAAACAAAAATGAATCTTACTGTTGACAAAGTCTAGGACTTAAAAAGGTCTGTTTGCCTTACTGGGTTATTGTGAAGATTAAATGAAAGACTGCATCCAAGTCCCTAACTCCATGCCCGGTACATTGTTAAAGGCTCAGAAAATGATGACCGTGAGACCTTCATTGTAGTCATCATCACAGATTGGCCTATTTTGGTTTCATTTATGTAGAGAAATCAGACACGAGCAAGGCCCAGTTGGCCATTCAAAAAAATTACTTCAGATAATCCAGCATAATTTCAGGGCCAGCATAACAATAATGACCTTTCATTGGCCCTCCTTCGTGCTGAGGAGTCAGCGTACTTTATGGCTGGAGTCCTGCCTACGTCACTTCTCATCATCCCATTTTATGGATTAGGAGATGAAGGCATGGACCGAAGGAGCACCTTTGAGAAACCGCATAGCTAATGAGGGGCAGTGCCTCAGTTCGGGCCCAGTCTGGGTGGTCCTATGTCCCCCTCCCCCAGCTCTGAGCCTGTCTGTGGTCTGGGGGGGACTTGGGGGTTAGGGATGAGGTCTCAAGGAGCCTCAGGTCACAGGAGGTCACAGAAACCCTTTGAGGGTTTCTGGCCAGGCATGGCGAAGGGAGACAGATGGGAGAGTGCTGCCCTGGTCTGAGGGAGGCCTGGCAGCAGTGCCCTGGCTGGCCAGCCCCAGAGCCTGCGGCATGAGGACCCAGCAGGCAGGGCAGTGGGGGGCTCACTTCAGCGTAGGTGGCTCGGTGGCACCAAGAACTAAATAATACGATGGCCAGTGGTCAGGCACATGATGTTGGCCTTGAATCTTCTCATGCCCTCCCTCCCTCTGCACCCACTCAGCCCCATATTGTCGTTCCCACCTCCCTAAGCCGCTGAGTCGGAGATGCTTCCTCTTGGCAGCCTTGGCTGGACCACCACAACGGCCCCTCACTGAGATCCCTGCCTGCTCTTGCTCCCTGCAAGCCCTTCACTTATCCCACTGGGGAGAACTTTTTATTTATTTTATTTTATTTTATTATTATTATATAAAAAATTATATAGTTATTCATGAGAGACACACAGAGAGAGGCAAAGACATAGAGGGAGAAGCTGGCTCCCCCTGGGGAGCCTGATGTGGGACTCGATCCCAGGATCCCAGGATCATGGCCTGAGCCGAAGGTAGACATGCTCAACCACTGAGCCACCCAGGTGCCCCTAAATGCAAAAATCAGATTGTCTCTGCCTGCTGAGAGCCTGTCCTGGACTGCCCATTGCCTTTCAGATAAAATGTAACCTTCACAGCTAGCCTGTAGGGTCCTGCACAATCAGGCTCTTCCAACCTCTGGCCTTGATTCATTTTCCCCTCATCCTTCCCCTTCCATCAGAAAGGGTCCTTTGCACATGCTGTGCCCCCCTGTGTGGGATACTCCTCTTTGTATTCTACACCTGCTCAGAGAAGGGCCCCGCCATCTCTAAGCAGACACTGGTTGTAGCAGTGTGTGTGTGTCTCCCAGCCAGCACACGAGAGGCCCCAGGTGTCAGCCTTCCCACGAGCCCTTCACCTTCCGGCACCTTCACATCTCCAGCACCACCACCGGCCAGTACACATTTCTTCAACACCAGCCCAAGTCAGCCTCCAGACCTCTGCTTCTGCTGCTTCCTTGACCTGGAATGCCCTGGCTCCACATTTTCACCTCTCAAACACCTGTTCTTCCTACAAGACACAGCTTGAATGTGCTCGCTTCTAGGCAGGCTTCTAATTCCCAGACAGAAGGGATCACTGCCCATCCTGTCCGGCCCCAGCCCCCATCCCAGTCCCCCTCTGTTCCAGGCATGGCTCATCGTTTCCATGCCCCTCTCTGTGTCCCTGCACCAAGCGTGGAGTTTGACATGGAGTAAGTGTCACTCATTGCCTGCTTGCAGGGTGGATCTTTGCCTCTTAGAAGGGTTTTCTTTATGAACTTGCTGTCTGAAGCGGGCTGGCTGGCTTGAATCTCAGATCTGTGAATTGCCACCTGTGTGACCTTGAGCAAGTGTATTGACCTCTCTCGGAGCCCTGGCTGCTTCATCTGTCAACTGAGATAATTGTGCCTACTCCGTAGTGTTACTATGAGGACAAAATAGGTAACACGAAGGGCTTAGAAGTGAACTTGTACGTGGTGAGTGGTCAGTGACATCGGGGGCTCTTGTATCTCTGGCAGCTGGCTGAGCCCAGCATTCAGCTTGCCTGCAGAGACCGTGTGCTGAACTGACGGTTCACTTCCCCTCTGTTTCCAGAGCTAGACAGAGGCCTCACTGAGCCCCAGATTCAGGTGGTTTGCCGCCAGATGCTGGAAGCCCTCCACTTTCTGCATGGCAAGAAGATAATCCACCGAGATCTGAAAGCCGGCAACGTGCTGATGACCCTGGAGGGAGACATCAGGCTGGGTAAGAGCCGTCTGTGGGTCAGGATGGGTGGGCAGAGCCTGGCAGTGCCTACCCTGTGGTGCCTACCTGGGGATATCAGCCTGGTCTCAGTAGCGGGGTGTGGGGCACGTGTGTAGAGTCCTGACTCCCATGTGGCCCAGGGTGTCCGTGGTCTTCACTTACCTGCTCTGGGCCACAGAACTCAGACCGTTCCTACTGGCTCAGTCTAACCCACTGGTTCTCAACTGAGGAGGACTTTGTCCCCCCAGGGACATTTGGCAATGTCTAGAGCCATCTTTGGTTATCACAACATGGGGGCAGGGGAGACTCCTGGTATCTGGTGTGTGGAGGCGAGGAATGCTCAGCATCCTGCAGTACACATCCTGCAGTACACGAGGAATGCTCAGCATCCTGCAGTACACAGCCACTTGGGATGATGTGATCCTGTGCCTCTGGGGCTGCTGGTGCGCTGTGGGAGGTGCTGCTCTGACCCTTTTGCTCTTGCTTCTAATAGAGAAGATTTGAGTGAGAGGGACAGACAGAGGGACAAGGCTGCCTCTGTTCGCAGATAGAATACATCAGACATATATGTATTTAAACAAATCTTTTTTTAAAAAAAGATTGCATTTATTTATTCACAAGAGACACAGAGAGAGGCAGAGATGTAGGCAGAGGGAGAGGCAGGCTCCCTGCGGGGACCCTGATGCAGGACTCGATCCCAGGACCCCGGGATCACACCTTGAGCAGAAGGCAGATGTTAACCACTGAGCCACCCAGGCATCACTGAACAAACCTTTTTAGTTTTCATGTCTCTTCTCTCTTTGTACTTTCAAAAAAATTTTGGTAAAATATATGTAACATAAAATTTATCATCCTAACTTTGAAGTATACTGAAGTACACAGTTCAGTGGCATTAAATACATTCATGTTGTTGGGCAACCATCACCACCATCCATCTCCAGAAACTTTTCTGTTATCCCAAACTGAAACACCATCTCCATTAAACACTAACCCTCACCCGAGCCCCAGCCCCTGGTAACCTTTGTGTCTGGCATATTTCACTCAGCCTAGTGTCCTTAAGGTTCATCCATGTTGTAACAGATGTCAGAATTTCCTTATGTTTTTAATATATGTATATTTTTTTTAACCAAAGTAACACATACACACTTCCTCTGCTCCAGCCACCTTGTTTCCCCATCCATTTCCAGTGATGACACTTTCAGGTCTTGTCACATTTGCTCCTACGTTGATAAATAATATGCTTATAACGCTATTTCTTAAGTAACGATTTTTATTCTTGGATGAAAAAATAATACATGCTTATTATACATAATTTACATAGTACAGGAGGGCTTGGACAGGAAAGCCAAGAGGTACCTTCAATCTCATTATCTGGATGTTGACACTGGTTGTGATCCCAGATAAGGTCTGCATGTGTCTCTGCCAAAAGAAGGACGTAGGGACGGGTGTTGGGGAGTGGTACTGATGACAGAGAGATTGTACTCTCTTGTTTTACCACTTTGACTGCATTCCATTGTTTTCTAGTAACTTCTTCCTGGTAGCAAAATCATCCATTCATCTGCACCCCTCTACCTCCCTCAACCCTGTCCTTTGAAGATAGGAGTGTCACTATTGTAGTTCCTCTCACAGAACCTTCGTAACTTTAAGGAACATTTGAATTATGTCCACAAGAAACTGCACCAGTGTTCAGTTCATGTGATGGAGAACTGCAGGGATAGGCATGAGGGTTGGAATAGAATGGTACAGTGCAATCAAGGACATCTTCTACTGCAGGAGGGCAACTCCCAGCATCCTTGCTTTGAGGGCTATGAGGCTCAGACAGGATGGAGACCTGCCCTGGGTCACAGCTGAGCAAGGATAGAGCCAGAGCTGACCCCAGGGCCACTGGCTCACTTTTCAGGGCCTCATCCATATCACTGCACTCACTTCCATGTGTGCTATGAACTGATGAGGGTGGGGCTGGGCCTTACAAAATGTATACAAGACTGGTAGGTTCTCAGATTTAGTGCCTTTTAGTCCTCTGGAGGGCTCCTAATACTCAGATTGCTGGATACAACCCCAGGGTTTCTGTCTGGGATGGGGCCCAAGAACTTGCATTTCTTTTCTTTCTTTTTTTTTTTAAAGAGAGAGAAAGAACATGCCGGGGAAGGGGCTAAGGGAGAGAATCTTCAAGCAGACTCCCTGCTGAGGATGGAGCCAGATGGAGGGCTCCTTCCCACAACCCGTGAGATTATGACCTGAGCTGAAACCAGAAGTTGGACGCTCAACTGACTGAGCCACCCAGGTGTCCCAGAACTTGCATTTCTAGTAAGCTCCCACTTGTAAATGCTGATGGGGGACCACACTTTGATAACCACTACTTTTAATCCTCACTATCCAAAGTGTGGTTGGTGGCAGCATCAGCATTACCTGGGAGCTTGTTAGAAATGCTGTGTTGTCCAGAAGGTAGGATTCGTTCTATCTTGAAAACAGCAGTATGACCAAGTTTCTCATATTAGGTACCAGCGGGGTCACTTTCTGTTCTACGTCCCAAAGACCAGAATCCCTGATTCTTGCGGGTCTGTGCCTTCTGGGGTTCAGCTCACATCCCTGTGACTGTTCCTCCTCCTTGTTCCTTCTTTTACCTGCGATGGTTAAGAGCATGCACTCTGTAGTCAGAGAGTCTTGAGTTCAAATCCCAAGTCAGCCTCTAGTCCTGTGACCTTGGAAAAGTCAGTTAACTATGCTGCTTTTCCATTCCTTCACCTGTAAAATGAGAATGATAATAAAACATCTGTCAGAGGGTTGTGAGACCAGTTACAAGGAGGTGTATGTGTTGTAAGCTCTCTGTAAAGGCCAGCTGTAATTACTGTTGTTTCTGTGTGCCAGGCCCTGTCTGTGCTGAGCAGGGAGGAGAATGAGAGCCTCGTCCTTCTCCCGCTCCTGCAGAGTTCCGGCAGAGGGGAGCCATCAGGGCTGGGGAGGGAGCCAGTGCTGGGATAGGCAGTGTATAGAGAGGGGTGATCTATTCCCCCACCTGGATGTGGTGGAGGTTTGGGTTGAGAAGAGGCTTTGGTGGGAGCGTAGTCTGAGCTGCGTTGTGAAAGGTAGATAAATATTTGCCAGGTTAGCCAGACTGGGCAGGGCAATGCAGGCAGAGGGAGCCTAGTGGGCAGGAGCATGGAGGTGAGGAACAGTGGGGTATTTTGGGGGGACGCATAATAAAAAATAATGTACATTTATTGGGTTTATGAAGCACCCACTAGATGGCAGACATTAGAAGGAGGCATTTTCTGGATATCTCATTTAATCGGCTCTCCCTGGGGTATTGGGCAGGGATGTGGGGAGGGGAGGGACTATATGAACACAGACGGGGACACTGAATTCAGACCATGAGGGAGGAGAAGTAGCAGGATGCACTGGGGTCTTCCTGACTCCACAGCCGCCAGTGGATGGGCTCATTCAGGGAAGAGTGTGGGTGGCCAGGGAGGGGCCAGGTTGGGGAGTGCCTTCGGCTTTAGGCTCAGGGAGTATGTGTGTGTGGGGGGGGCACAAAGAGAATCCCTTGTGCTCTGGGAAATTCAAGGGAAACCTTCAGCTGAGCCTTCAAGAGCATATCACTTGGGGGAGGCAGAAGCCAGCAAACCTGGGTCAGGACCAGCCTGTTAGAGCCGGGAAGCCCTGCTGGGGATGGGGATGGGAGGGAGGGCCCTAGCAGCCTCAGGCTGAGGTGTCTCCGTCAGGTTCTCATTTCCCGTTGCCATCTCCCCCTCCACCCCCCTGAGTCTGGAGGGCGCTGACATGCTGAGCTGACTCCAGAATCTCACTCAGAGCCTAGCAGAGGGTGGGATGCAAGCAGATGGGTGCATCAGATTTCCAAATGACTTGGCATATGCAGTTGAGAAAACCAGGAAGCCAATTAAAAAGGAAAAAAAGTTCAAAGAGAGTTGAGTGTGAATATTTACACAATTTCACTGAGCCCTGGGAGCCGTGGTGTACATGCCTGCTGAGGCTTGTTGTTGTTTTGTAAAATCCTCCTTCCCCCTTGGGCCTGGAATCTGCAGCCTGGAGGAACAGTGCAGGAGGCTTGGGAGAAAGGGTGGCAGCTTGTTTCTTCCTAGTTTCTTGGGACTGTCTTGGGCCCCTGAGGCCGCTGCCCCCCACCATATCCTTATATAACTCAAGGATGCAAAAGAGAATTGTGTAGGAGATCTTTCTCCCAAGCAAGGGCATCACCTTATTGGAGACCATGTCTGTGCTCTCACTGGAGTGGAAATAGAATGAAAAGCAGCAGGATGAGCTGAACAAAGCATGGGCTCTAGACACAGACATGCCTAGTTCAAATCCTGGCTCTGCCACTTTGAGCTGGAGAAGCGTAGCTATCCAAACCTCGGTTCCTTTATCAATGGCAATGGGTATAACCATAGACCCGACCTCACAGGGCTGTTGTGACCAGTAGAGTGAAGTGTACAAAATACTGTCACAGAGAGACTCAGCATTACATCCCTCACTGCTATGAGACATTTTGCTTCTTCCTTGTGTTAAATATTTACTTCTGTCAAGGATATCAGACTTCCCTGAAATTCATTTGATAGTGGCCCAGTAAAGCAGAAGTTCTAGCTCTGAGTGGATGTGAAGCAATTCTTGGTGCCTGGTGAGAATCCATTGGTGCAGAGAAAGGAAGTGGGGTGTGGACTTGGAGTCCAAAGAACTGCATTCTTGTCCTGGATCTGCCGCTTCACATTGGAAGACCTTGGACAAGTCACCTAACCCTTTGGAGCTTTAGCTTTTCAACTCGGGTGTGGTAATAGTTTCTGTCTCACAGAATTCGTGTGACAAGTGAGACAGTGCATGCAAAGCATCTGTAGGTGCCTAGCAGAGCAGAGAGGCCAGTGAATGTTAGGTTTCTTTCTTGGGCCCAGGAATGTCTTGGAGAAGCTGCTATGAGACAATGTTCTCTGTTCTCTGAAGAATCTGTGTTCTTTCCCCAGCAGTGCTTCTCTGAAGATGGGGGTAATTTT